GGGGCATAATGTCGAAGTCGGAAATGCCGACCTTTAGTGAAGCTTCTGTTTTGCTATTCAAGGCCGCGGCTACAGACTCTAGCCATTCCAGGGGAGCCGCGCTTTGGCTTTCTCGCCAAATGACAGAGTATACGCGATCTGAGGATAGCCACGGCAGCAGTTGGATAAAAACGTAGTGGGAAGTAAGGACAGGCATATTGAAGCAGCCTGGGGTGTCAAGACAAGTAGATTCGCATCTAGACAACGATCACGTTAGCGCTATTCCTTATCCGAATCTGATGCCGTACCTTGGATTTGACGACTCCACGACACATAGGGCAAAGGGGCCGTCCCTTGACCCGAGCTTGATCGATTCGACTGGACGGCATGTGCTGCTCAGCGCACCAGCGGCAAAGTATCGCGTGACCGCATGGAATTATCACGGTGTCCACGAGTTGACTCATGCAGATCTTACATTCGAGATTGACGGTCAATTCTTTGTCTTCTTTGGGTTCGGGACGACCATCCGTCGTGTCATCGAGGCCTTTGGGAGTTGGCGGCCCACAATCAACGATGCCGTCGTCATTCAGCGAGTGCTGTCGGTGACTTCCATGGACGGCACTACCAGTGCGCATTCTACTTGTGTATGCTTGCAGCTCCGCCAATCGTTGGATCTGGACATGATCTTCTGGCGTGAGATACGTTAAGTAATGCGGTGCTCCGATCGCCATCGTAGGACCAGAGCTTGTGGCAGTCGCCACCGCCGGCACTCTGGGCACTTGAGATGTCGAGAGGCGACGTGGGAGCTGCGGATTCGTTTCACCTGAAGGGCGCGTGCGTCGACGTGTAGTCTGGCCGACGGATGGAGCCTGCTGCTGGCCCGGCAATGAGCTTGCGGTGGAAGAGGAGCTCTGCGTCCGATGGTGCCGTCTGGGCTGGTTGGTCACCGGTGAAACGCCCCATTGCGGAAATGGCATATAGGGATTGGGACGGGTGTACGATGGTGGAGAATAGATAGGTCCATATCGCACACCTGCGTAATGCTGAGTCTCTAGATGTGCGGGAGTATTGACCGTTTCTGGCGGTATCATTTGGTAGGCTGGCGCTGTCACGTTTTGTGGTCCTGGGGGCTGCAAGTTGGATCTCTGATGCACTGCGACCTGGTGGCTATTTTGAAACAACGACCCCGGTGGTTGAATAGGAGGCGTCCGTATATGAGAATAACTGTGTCTATTGAAATCAACGACATTTTGCGGATCCCAGTAACGCAGGCTGGCTTCCTGATGGCTTCGACTGTGGTCGGTTATATCTCCCCACAAGGAGTTCTGGCCTCCTAGAACCTCCCCGTGGGTTTGTTGGGCCCCTGCATCCATCCCAGTTCTTGTGTGCTGGGAACTGGGTGGCGGAAAGGCGAGGTCTCCATCGTGTATCAAAGCGAGGTACTCATCGGCAAGTGAAGTTGCAAACGGATTGGTACTCGAACCTTCTCAAATTGTTAAGCCTAAGATATTGGTTCTAACCGAGGCTACGGGTACTCACTTTGACCGTCGAAATGAGGATTCGTTGAAGCGTCAACCGCACCTGATGCGTTATTTTGCGTGATGATTTGCGGGTCCACAGTCCCATGGCTGCTGGGATCCCGCATGTTTGAGAATGTTGGAGGCGCCATATTGCTAGAGTCCCCAAAAGTGGAACGAGATAAATGCACATCCATGCTCGAAGGGATCAATTGATAGCCCGGGTTGCAGGTGTACTGCGTTGCGGGTTGGTAGGTCAGTAGCGTTTCGCTCAGGAGCTGCAAGTGGTTTAGAATTCTCGCGATCCCCTGATGGATGGCGTGCAGTTCCTCTCGAAGATTATCGATGTTATCGTGGCGAGATTTTCTGCGATACGGAGATCTCGTCGGCTCTAGGGAGATGGAAGGAGGAAGGGTGGAGGAGATATCGAAAGACAGACTGCGTGCGTTGGCACTTGCAAGATAAGCCTCAGCAGAGTATTCTGGTTGACTGTGAATGAAAGCCTGCCTGCCGGGACGGCTAGATGAAGAGTGAGAACTCCAGTATTCTAAATCACAAGAGCTCAAGCCAGTGAGTAATTGCTATAGTGAATGAAGCAAAGCAGGAAATAAATACACTAAACAAATGTGGTCAAGCGACTATAAGAAAAGCTGCATATAATAACCAAACACAAAGAACTCAATGAACTAGTGCATGAACGAGCTGACGAGGTCGGGAATGGGGGGGAAGAGAACACGGACCCTGGCACTTCCAACAGTACCTTGTAGAAGCAGTTGTGGTATGCCTCGGTGTGTTGCCGGCATTTGCAGATGACAAGATCCTCCCATAAGAAGCACTCGGATGAATGTCCAGACACGAGCAGCAGACAGGTGAGCTCAAGTGGAGACAGCCGATGGCATGCTTATGGATACAACGGGGATTGTTTGATAGAGGAACCCAGGCTAACATGATTCAAAGTAGTTATAGATAACGTGCAGATGGGGACAGATAGCCTTATTCCAACCAGATTCTGGCGTACTACTGTGACAGTGTCAATATTAGTCACAATGCAGATGGCGGACAAGTCCCCAGTGTCTTCTTAAATAAAGTGAGAAACATTCGATCATTCGCCTTAAGTCAACGATATCAATTGGCTGGAAATCATCCTGTGGATTAGTCTTAAACGGAGCTCGGAATCAGGACCCTTCAAGGCCGACAAGGCCCTATAGAAGGGGGCAAAAAAGAAAGGATTAAGGAGGAGGGAGATGAGAGGATAGAAGGAAGAGTGAGAAGAGAGCCAAATAGCCCCAGGAGGCAACAGAAGTTTTGCCCTGATACTGCAGCCAGCCCGGTGAGAACTAACAATGGTTGAATGACACGCAATAGCAGGGGCAGGGTCTCCGGGAGTTATTCGACACAGGCCCGTGGATGTTGCCTGAGAAGGATCCTTGATAGTAATAGTAACCAGCCAGGAGCCAAACGGAGCAAAAGTACGACCGTAACATACGTGGGATCTCTGACGTCTGACCAACGTTGACGAAATCGAGACCGTACCGACCGTCAAGCGAAGTCGGGAAGATGCGCGAGAGACGGGTCTGCACTGCGCCGCAGCCAAAGATGGATTGGGGGAAGGGAAAGAGAACCTTCACTATTAATAACGGATGATGAGGGGAAGGCGAGCAAGGAATGGACAGAAACATAAAAGGACAATGTCCAAAGCCGTCCAATGATCAAAACCGCCAACTGTGGCGGGTGGCAGGGAACTGGAAGCGAGAGGAGCTCCATAAAGCAACGAAGCTCCTTTGGCGGGTGTCAGCATCTATCTGACCCCGCAGGATGATTGATCAGACAGAGTTGTATGGCTGATTATACTCCGTAGACACGTAAACTAGATATCCGGGATCAGGTATGTAGGTAGGTTATTAGCCGAGAAAGAGATGAGTAATGATCTATCGATTGGCCATCCGGGTAGTCCGTGATCCTAGTGCTACCTACTACTGTAGTTAGAATCGCTTCAAGGGGAATAGTTGAATTGATTATTATTATTATCAAAGAATGAAATGATGATGATAAGACTAGACGGAAAAAGAACTTGTAAGGAGATCCCACGGAGCAAGAGGAAACGAACACGGGGAGTAATTCCCGCAGCAATCCGTCGACGTCATTTATCGCTCTCTCACATTCTCCACCGAACTCTATCGTCTCCTCGAATGTTTTCCTACGGTTTTCTGGCGCGAGACGGTTCATGTGATGGTCTGTTATCTGTTTGAGATTCCTTGGGTCACGCGGTTTATCTTGTGGTAAGCAGACTCGCTTCTCACGAGTGCTTGACCACCACACGCGATTCATGAGGAACAGGCTGTGGCTGTCCGTGCGGCATCTGCATCCAACCTGCTTCTCCAATCCCAGCGCACCATCAGTCACAATCAGGTCAATGTCGAGCTTCACCATTCCTCTTGATGAAGGCAAAACATCTGTGTCTGTGCCAGTCAACTCCCTGAGCAATTTGAGCAAGGAGGATCTCCTACGTTTTCCAGCCTTTCAGATCTGGCTTTCAACCCTTCAACGATCCTTACAACGACAACACCATCCATCCCACGAGTTCAACCACAACCCCTATGTTTTACGGAAGATAAATGTTCAATCTGTTGATCACTTCAAGGGCGGCAGATTGGGGTTTATTAAGCTCAACGCAGAAGTTTCCAATGGAAACGGGGAAACTCTCCCGGGGACGGTCTTTCTGAGAGGTGGTAGTGTAGGAATGTTGGTAAGAATGACAACATCTCATCTCTGTACGATGCGAATCAGATTACAAAAACCTTGTTAACTGATCATCATGATGCTTGTGTGATAGATGATCCTCCAGCCCGACGATGTGCCATCATCGAACGAGGACGAGAAGCGGGCGATTCTGACCATTCAACCCCGAATCCCGGCTGGCTCCCTAGCTTTCCCCGAGATCCCAGCCGGTATGATTGATGATAGTGGAACATTCGCCGGAGCAGCCGCGAAAGAGATAGAAGAGGAAACAGGATTGACAATACCCCAAGGCGAACTTGTCGATATGACCTCTCTGGCGCTGCAATCAATTTCGGAGCCAAAGGACGGAGAGTCTCTGCAAAGGGCGGTCTATCCGTCCCCCGGAGGGAGCGATGAGTTTATCCCCTTGTTTCTGTGCCAAAAGAGGATGGCACGCAAAGAGATCGAGAGTCTACAAGGGCGACTGACGGGTTTACGCCAGCATGGAGAGAAGATCACATTGAAGATTGTGCCGTTGAAAGATCTTTGGAAAGAGGCATTGCGAGATGGCAAGACACTTGCCGCATGGGCACTATATAACGGCCTGAAACAGGATGGAAAGATTTGAAGATGGCCCAGCATTGTAGCCAAAGCCGATAGGAAGATTGGCGCCTGCAGTCTCTACTCCGGAGAATATGGATAAGTATGTATCGACATGAATGGATCCTCGATCTCGTCTATATGAGGGACGCAGCCGTACACCAAAGCCGTGAATGAAGTGCGCATTTAAAGCTTCAGCTTCTTCGCCAGTTCGATGCCCTCTGCTAATGTTCCCACGCGGGCATCGATTGCATATCCCTCGGCTTCGAGTCTCTTCAACTCGGAAAACAATGTACCCAAGGGCAGTGTGAAGCACTCGATAAACTCATTGTCCTCGAGTTGCGGTTTAGGATCCTGGTTTTCAGGAAGCGACAGATCCACACGCACATGAACCATATTCAGATTAGTGTTACACATCCCCGGATCTGTGATACCTTCAATCAGTGTCTTGCACCACGCTCGGAGGATTGAACCCGGCCTTGATCACGGAAATTTGCGTAGTAGTCATCAATGCATCACTCACCATTAAACATGAGAGTGCTTGTCTGCTCCGCTACTCCCACATAGCCTGTCTCCTCCCTCAGCTCGCGCACCGCACATTCCTCGACGGTCTCGCCGGCGTCGATAAGGCCAGCTGGAACTTCAATGACCACTTTATCGATAGGCGGCCTGTACTGTTTCTGCAGCAACAATTCAGGGCCTGTTGGCTTGTCGATGATAGTAACAATTCCCACACCATCGACATCGCAGCCCGGTGGCCGAGTCTGTCCCAATTAGTACTTCATGTAATACAACGCAAGGTCTTCGGCCACGAAGGATGTCTTGCTGCTCAAGTAAGGAGAAAGCCAGAAGCCTTCTGCTGAGTCACAATGCAGACTCGCAGTGACATGGCGTCATAGCGCCATCCTGAATGTCCAGCATGGGCAGAATGAATTATCTCAAGACCCGTACAGGAGCCGCACCGGGCAAGTAGCAGAGACGAACTTACCTGTCTCTCTGCGGACTCCCAAGTCCTTTCCACACCATTTGGATCAGTGTACGTGGTCAGGACCAACCTGGTCCATTTGGCATTATTGTTTTCCTATCATGTGGATCAGCCCATACTTCGTTCTTTTCACCACAACGAGGTAATTCCGGTAGAATAGAAGAGGTCGGCGCGAAAATTGCGCCATGAACAATACACCGCACTTAAATTGCCCTCCAGGAACATCAATTGCATACCAATGGAGCTCGTGATACGAATTTTGACTTGGCGTACTTGGGATCAGACCCGGTCATCTTTTGGTGATCGTAAGGTAGCAATGCCAATTGAGGAAGTTATAGTATACTGGAATCAAGAAGAGAAGAGCCGATCCCCTATCACTTCAGATGGTGATGGTATAATGAGTGATTTGGGCGGTCAGGTTTACCACTGGTGACTAGAACTATTTATGTTCAATGTCGATGGAGCATGAAGTATGAAGTATGGAGTATGGCCAAACTACCTGTATGCCTTGGCCAAAAAGGAGGGGCCGAGGCTAAGCCCCTTTCAGATCGAGATAGGGCCAACCCTGGTTTTATCTCATTCAATGCATGAAGACAGACTGCTCAAATAACTGTGCTTCAAGCAACCCCGAATTGCTATCCCTGATCAGGACCTGAAATCCACTTCAGCTCTTTGGGAATATCTATTCCATTTTCGCTGTACTACTATCGGGCTATCAGCGTGGTGCTGACCGCTTCTTACAAGGTCAGCTCATGCCTGGGCCATGAATTGTAAACGTCCTTCTTCCTTATTCCAGTCTGGACCAACTCTAGACCATCTGTGTCCGCTAGGGTCTGCTCATTAATGGATGCTCGCCAAACTTTTCTTCCTAGTGACCTTCAGTGACCGACGAATAAGTCATTTTGACCGCAAAAAAGGTCAGCTGTATCTCAGTAAGAGTACGAGTGGCTAGGAGAAGACCGGGGTTCTTCTCGGATTCTGAAGTAGCCCTGTACTCGGTTATCCAGCACCCTTAATAGTGTTTCTCCGTTATGTATCGTTGATCCGTTGAAATCCTTGGGAGATCGCCGTTGATATAATCGTTGCACTTCTCCTCTTTCTTACCATTATGGGGATTCTGGCCAACCGGTTTTTCATAGTCAGTGGAACCCAGAGCAAGTATATCACTTTATATAGTGTTTGGTGACTCTTCATCACGAGGAAGAACTAAATGTCAGACAACCTGACATGCCAACCTTTGTCAACCAGGGACTGTCGAGCGGAGAGGTCCGACTCAATGACACCCTTTTCATGGATGAATATCACTGCATCGGTTGCTTGCCGGGAAAGACGATATCGACATCTGCATTGAACAGTCAACAGGCCATCTTTCACACAGGACTCCAGATTCCCGTTCGGTTCAGTTCGAAGGTCGACATGGTCATCGTAGCAGCAAATGCACAGGGCAACGTATGCCTTCCCTAACGGCTATGTATTTTGACCTCGACAAGAGCTTTGACACTGCAGATGATGGACCCAATTAGACAAAGAGAAATTCAAACAATCTTGTTGCTCAGCCTGTGGACAATTGCGAAGTCAGACATCGATAACAAGTATTTGTACAGTCGGTTGCTCAGTGTTGACATATGTCCTTCGACCATCGGCATAACATAGCGCCTGATTATCGACTTCCATATTGGACTTCTGGAAGACGTGATATGCTGATTATTTAAAACACTAAATGTTACAAGGCAGCGCGCTGAGAACCAAAAGCCGGTAATCGGATCCTTTAGGAATCAGAGAGAGGTCAGACGTTGGAATGAGGGCATGGACTCAGCATAGCAGGCCGAAGGACCGACAATTGGCATGAATGGGGAACCACAGCAGGCAGGCTTGGCGGGTGCATAATAGAGGGGCCTCAAAAGGCTTCAAACAGGGCTTCAAGGATAGTCAACGAAGCAAATCCAAGAAGCAAAAAAATAAAGATGAAAAAACAAAAACATACAACAGCCGGGATTCGCTGGTGGTCACCCACCCAACTACTAACCGGCCGGCGTGTGGCTTAACTACGGCTGAGCGGACGGGAAGCCCTGTTCTCCACACCCTATGGTCGTATGTATCTTAAACATATTCAAATAGACTTATATAGCTCTAGGAAATAGGTCAACGCTGCTTTTAATGTCGCGTAACCTAGGGTAAGAACGCTGAGCGCGATATAGAAAGGGTCAGAAGCCGGATGAGAATCACCCTAATCCGCACGACCATCATATTGACCTCTTAGTCCGCATAAAGATATACCCTGATTCGACGATCCTTCCTTGTCTGAAACCGTCAGTGGCTTGGCATCTACACCTAGCCACCCAGCTTGCTTAAACCAGAGCGATGCAGTATGAGCACATTTGAATTGTCCTCGTCTGACTATCTCCTCTCACACATGACAGTAGGGAAAGGAAGAATACCGTCGGAATATCAATCGGGCCGGAAAGAACACGGTTGGTACAAAATAGGTAGATGAAAGCCAGTTCGTGAAGAACAGCTATGGGTGACGATTTGGGGCACTATCCCCAGAATCCGACGGCCAGTCATTCTGTGGGTAGAATATAAGCCAATCAATCCTCTATTAGTTCCACGATGACGAAATGCAACCTCAAAGTCAGAGTCGATATTTGAGATCTTTTACCAAAATAGTCTCTGTGTTTCCCGCCAAATCTATGATACAGCTTACGATCTGCACTATAATATGTTTCTGTGTTGAAAGCAATTGACCCAATATATAAAGAGCTCTACGTACATTAAGGCACAGGAAGAAACCAAGTAGCTGCCTAGCGACCTAAACACTAAGACACGAGGCCTGGCACTTCAGGCATTTGTTACAAAAATCATATCGTAATAATCGGATCCCTCCTCTTCTTCCTGTGCAAGCTAATCGTAATTTGATAAGACCACAGTATATGGCTTAGTACTAACAGTAGTCAAACTCCCGTTGCCCTAGTTAACCTGAACCGGGTCTCAATCATACGAAGGGAATACGTGCCATCTCTTCTAGATAGGATATTACAAAAGGAAAAGAACTTCCCAAACGACAACAACTGAAGAGAATCCAACGAAATTCATAAGTGGGGAGAATTGCACACTATCACTATTCATACACAAGATTGACAAGTGACCCGACCTATCTAAGCCTCGCCCATCTTGTCGGCCTTCCTCTTCCGTTCAATTAATCCATCGGCCTCAATCAACCTTTGGGCCTCAATCAAAGCGGCGATCCGGCCAGAAATACCGAGACTTGTGTTGAAGTAAATATCGGGTCTGCGGGGGTAACAAGTAACATCGAACCCCTGGGCTTCACGAAACCTCTTCCACAGCGTGCTGAGCTTCGCCGAGTGAATGGTTGGGTAGCCGGTAGGTACCCAATTTGTTCTTAGGCCAGATTTAACGCAGGGGTGCACGGCTACCACAAATTTTGGCGTCGTGTGGCCGGTCCACCGTGCTTTGACTGTCTTTGTTTCCTGGCAGTTTTCTCCCTGGCACTTGACTTCGAGCTCGACTGGGAGCGTTCCAAATTCTTCTGCACGGAGCAGAAGCCATCTGTCAAACTGGTCGAGAGGCTTCTCCTTTAAATCCGTCTGGGTACAACGCGAGTATCTTGTCAGCGGATTGAGAGGTAGGAGGCTAGCGTTTTGCATCTTGCAATCTGGCCTGCCGCAGCCGGACCGAAAATGATACCAAAGTACATAACGACTCGGGTCAAACTTTGACCAGTAGGCAAAGGGGTCGTCCAGTTGCTCCTTACCGCATTCAGAACATTTTCGTGGGACAATATCATTCGGAGATTTGCGAAGAATGAGCATATCATCGACACAGGGCTTTCTTGGGCGAGCAATCATCCAACCGTAGGCAGCCAAGACTGAAATTGCGAGCGTGAGAATGTCTAAAGTCTCAGGGCTACCTTTGCATTTCTGGAGGAGGTAGAAGGCAACCTCAAGATCAGTTCGACTCGATATCTTGCGCCTATTGAATTTTAGACCATCTTGTGCCTGCATAAATTCAACCAGAGGATCAGGAAGATCCTCCCAATCCCAGCAATCTGACAGTTGAAACTCCGTAGAAAATTCGCTTGAAAAATAGCCGACACTTCGTGCGCCGATGACTTTTATGTGATGAGCGGTGATAGTGATATGGGGAATGAACGCAGATAGAAGCTCCCCCAGATCATGCCAATAGTTCGCTATCTTGCGAAGGCGGTCATTCCTCTATTCAAGTTAAGCGTTAAAGGGGTATATAGGTAACATTCTTCAGGTTGTTCATACCAGGATCGTGTCGTCTGTAGTGCTTGGCAGATTGGCAGTTTCACTTACTTGGCCAGGTTTGAGTTGAGCCAGAAGCCTGAACACTTTTTGAACAGACAAATTCTCTTCCTTTGTAGCACGGATGCGATGTGATGTTTCCTCAAAAAGAATAGCTCCAGGGAAAGCTTTCTTTAACTGGGCCACAGCTTGGCCTTTCCACTCATTTCTTTTAGCGCTTATTGTTCGTGGCACACATAGATTCCGAGGCAATCGAGGATCTAGCTCGTAAAAGTTTGGTGAAACTTGGATGCCACCCAAGCTAGCAGCGAGAGCCAACGCTTGATCTTGTGGTGAGCCGAATCGGCGACGCCAACCTTGAGTCTTCTCTCCGTCACTCTTTACGTACATAAAGCGCTGAGGGTGCGCGACAAAAATGATAAAACGTCTTAAAGACGCTTTGTCAGGCGTCAGCTCCAGATACAAAAGCAAGCCTGCAAAATCACCCCAAAGACGCAAAGGCTTGAGGTCAAGCTTCTTGAGCATTCGTTGGCGAACGTTGGCACCCCAGCAGATCTCGACCTTTGCCTTCATTGCGACTCGGAGCGCAGAGACAAACTGTTCATGAATGTCGAAGAGATCTTCGGGATAATTATCTTTGCAGTGTCTGCTGATATCTCTGCGAGCCAGATGATCAAAAAGCAAACAGTTGTTTGTTGTTGAAAACCCAGCGTCATGGAGCTGGGCGATTGAGGGATTTGAAAGGTCCTCGGTTTTTTGGCAACGGGGGTCATCTACAGAGAATGTGGGATTGTATAAGTGACACGCAACTGGAGCATTCAGCTTGCCACTCGGGCGAACCAAGAATTCTCTGGGTCGAGTGACACCTCGCGCCTTCCACCAGGAGGCTTCATTCTCTTGAAGACGCTCATAAGCTTCATCTAGATTCCAACCTGGTGAGCAGGTTTGCCCTGCTTTTGGGTTGGCCTTTAGAAATCCCTATTTAGACGGCCACGGCACTTACCATCCGCTTCTTTCAGCTCTCTGTCCCATTGCATCTCGAGACCTTGGATAAGAGGAATGAGCTTCTGGACATAGATCAGCTCCTGGCTGGACAAAGCTTGCTCAGGATCTGGCAGCCAGAGATCCCGGAAGAGGCGAACTTTCTTCCAGCTCTGCATGATGAAAGTGGGTTGGCACAAAGTAAATCGCTCCTGAGAAACTCATACACTGGAAAGGCTTATTCTGGAAGTGAAGTGCATTGTAGAAGGCTGACAGAAGGAGAGATGGATGGGAAAAGAGAAATGGACTACAGAAAATAGCAACGCTCGTTCTTATCAATAGGGTATCATTCACTCCATTACCTTATACACCAGATTGAGACCAGCCCCTGAAACTAAAATCTCTTCTATAGCTTGACCTGTATTCACCATTATTCACTGTTCATGGTGACATATCGGACTTACCTATTGCTTACAAGACACCCATGTGTCTTCAGAATTCCCCTTCGCTCCCAACCACTATAAATAAACTAGAAAAAACAAGTACATGAGCGCCGTGCTTTGTATTGTATGCCTTTTATTAAAAGAGTACAGCCTCACCCTGTGGTATTCTCGTCTCTCCTATAACCTGAGCGTCCTTAAGTCTAGAGAAATCTTAAAGCTCAAGAATTCCGTATAGCAGACCTAAATCAAAGCAGAAACCGGACCTAGAGGCCCCCAAGTTCTAGGGTTTGGCTAAAGCAAAATTAGATGTTGGTGCTAGACCTCGTAGTCTTTCTGGTAATAGGTAAGGCTAAAGATAGGAAGGAACTGTCACACCCTGGGATCCGTCTCTGCTGTTCTTTGCTAGTCACTGCTTTTGGGAACTCGAAGTGCTATACCCGGTACAGGGCGTATAGGCTTATGCTTGCCTAGTATACCGACCCGGTATCCTAATCATCAACACAATAAACAATCCGACCAGGATCAAGGATATTCAGAAGATGACAGAAGAATAAAAATAGTAGAGATAGAAGCAAGACCTATTAAGTCCGTATGCTCAATAGTAAGAGAGCAACTGACAAATCAGACTAGTGGACTTGTACTCAAGTGAAGTAATTTTGAACGCAAGGAACTAAACTAAGAGTGCTAGATACAGTGTTAACAAGTATCCTTATATATTTCCTTAATCACGACTCCTTCACGACTCCTGTTGCTACTCCTGGAGTATCTATGGGGTAGATCGTAGAGTAGATGCGATACCCTTATCTTGGCAATGTCCGTTTCCTGAGGAGGCAGTCACGTGACGCGGCGGCCGAAATAGGTTTCCTGGAGCAATTCACATTGTACTGCATAAGAATTCAGGCACTAGGACTTGTGGTTGGTTGTCCTGCTGCTCATCACTCCTTGTCCTGCGGCTGTGGTGTCGTAAAGGGAACCTTCTGTTTATCAAGCAAAAACAGTATTGATGTAATTGGTAAGCAACCCGCCATTGTGTGCCAGCTGCCATCTCCTGTATTCCATATAACATGGCACTTTTTCAAGGCTTCGATATCTCGACACCCAAGCTCTACAGGGTCCAAGTTTAAGTATGAGGAATAGTATATATATATAGAGTCACACTATTAAGCTATAGCGTCCTAGTACAGGTATATACTTAGGTAACATAAATTACATGTGACATGTATTTTTGGTAATGTTAGCTTTATGGTTATCAAGAGAGCATCAATATTTCAAGGCCTTATAAAAGAGTATTTATATGCTTTAGGGTATATGTACTCTAAAATATCTTACTTACATAAATAGCATAATATGAGCATGGTTGAGATATCAAAGTCTTGAAGGGTGCCATTTTATATGGAATCCAGAGATGAGTGGCTCGGTAGGGTGGACAGCTCAGTTGGGAGTTACGTTATAAGTTAGGTCTTACTACACCAGATTTATTTGTTGGGTAGATAGAAGATGGTAACTTAAGATTATAGATACTCTTTAGAAGGTAATTTAATTTATTATAGCATGCCTTATAGGCAGTAATCTTCGCAATGGCATCCACACTGTGTTCCCTTCTCTACGATCTATAATAGAATTTTAAGTGACATTGGAGGTTTTACGAAAGAAATGAATAAGCCTTACATACAGTATAGTGCCCAGCTGTCTGTCTCCTATTTGATTGTATTTTTGATATTTCACACTGAAATCATTACCTGCTGCAATTAAGCGTGACTTGGGACAGAAGCCAAAAAAAAAAAAAAAAAAACCAAAGAAAAAAAAAGCAAAGGCCCGAAGCGCGAGTCGAACGCGCGACCTCTCGCACCCAAAGCGAGAATCATACCTGGTTCCGTTGTTAGTGGGGACATTTAAAGTGGCGAAATATATGAAAACATACCACTAGACCATCCGGGCAGTTGATGTGGCAAAACTCAATCATTATCTACTGAAACTAGCCGTGACTTGGGAAGGAAGAGGGCAAAAAAGAAAGGCCCGAAGCGCGAGTCGAACGCGCGACCTCTCGCACCCAAAGCGAGAATCATACCTGATTCAACTGTTAGTAGGGAAATTAAAGTGGCGTAGTATATGAAAACATACCACTAGACCATCCGGGCTGTCAATGTGACATAAACTAGGATGTATAATCCTATATGCTATGGATGCTTCTAGGAGTGAGGATCCGAGGAGCCGATCACTCGATCACTCTAATCAATCAAAAAAAGAATCTAAATGTTCCCAACTGTTTACAGACTCTTCTCCCGCAGTAGTAACTAGAGCCTCACAATAAACAGATGGATGGATGACGCCTGTTCCCTAGCCTCCAGACATTTAGAAGAGGACATGATCCCATATTATAAGAGGCCTGCCATTAAGCATGCATCTCAGCATCTGTCTTCACCCGCAAGAAATATACATTAATTCATTTCATCAGTTGAAGTACCAAATATCTCTCCAGTACTCCGCACTACATCTCCCAGGGGACCTTACCATCAAGCCCATGGGGGAGTCAGAATGGGAGAGATACCTTGGCTTCTGGCTTGATCCAGGCCTCGCCTTCGTGAGCCACTATCAAAGCAGTCACTAGCCTACAAGCGCTACGCAGTGTATCAGGATCTACCTAGGGGGCCCATCTCTTAGGGCCATGAGACGGATTAATAACCAGTCATCATACACCAGTTCTTTTTCAGTGTTTCACCATGGTAATATCAACCATGCTCACAAAGGAACAGAGGTAAGGAGGAGGCGGGGGAACTTATATATCCAGATCAGTGAAATTATAGGTAGGAAGGCTGGGGTATTCCTAGGGTAAAGAGTGAGATAAGTAAGACTAGTTTACTTAAGACTTAGACCTTGATATTACCTGTGGGTGAGTCACCCTGTTCTTACCTTTCTTACCCTTGTCTTCGGAATTTCCACCTATATCACCCACTCTCACCCTAGGGCAGTCTACATTGCTTTCTAAAAAGACAGGGGTGTCAAGGGCACTTTAAGCATTGGCTATGCCCAATATGTGGCTTAAGTACGGCTGAGCGGATGGGAAGCCCTGTCTTCCACACCCTATGGTCATATGTGCTCGGACTTGCTCTGCAATAAATTGTATGCATCTCGTCTTACGCATCAAGACTGTCTAAAGCGGCATCTCCATAGTTCATTTATCTCCTGTCATTTGTATTTCTCATGGCCCCACTTGCAAATATTGCCTTTGGGGAGGGCAACAATGGAGGCAAGTATGGAAGCCACTGCCATCAGAAAAGAGCTGCACAAGCTGGGGAGAGCAGTTTCCAAGACATACAGAGCCACGGCCAAGCTACAGAATTCAATGCAATGCGGGGTAAGTAGATAATGATTGGCAATGTTTTGACACATGAATACCGCTCTATCTTGCCTTGATACAAGCAGCATCTGTCCAGACATATCCCCCTTGCGTCGAAGATGCATATCAGCTGGGACAACCCAGACGAGGCTTCTCTAGATACTGTCTAGTGTAACAGTGCATTTACAATCTCTATTATATACCCATGCTATCCTGTAGACATAACTTGCAGGAGTTGGAGGGTAGTATGCACTTGCTGTCCTTCTGACAAAGACCACAAAGCCCTCTTCGTGAGTTTGCTGTTCCAATGTAAACCGGCTGAGAGCCCCGCAGTTGGAATCAAGATCTATGCAGACCTCATGCAAGCGCTGTTCGCGATTGCTCTAATGGCGTACGGCCACAGTCATGTATTTTACCAACTATCGAAGGAGAGCCCGATGCCTGGGTACGTATTCAAGCTCAGCTGAGTACTCCTGGATAGGTCACAGAATGTGCATCTTCTTGGGCCACATAAGGGTCTCCTTGCATTAGCATACGATTTCAATTTTCAACGTCAACCATGTATCTAAAGGCGTCTGAATGTGGTGCGCCATAGAACCTGCGCTCGCATGGGTCTTTTGCCGACAATACTCCAATGTGAAATGATTAGCGACTGGCTCTCGCTACTCTATGCTATCTACAGCGGACTTGTCGGTGCAGTAGGTCTACGTTCTACAACATGAGCCTTCAGCAGAGCACATATTCGACTTCAAAGAAGCAAAGAGTTTGGAAGTCTCAGATAATCGAGAGTAAGCCTCTATTGTGCAAATACAGACTACATACACCGAAAGGCATCTGTTTGTGTCCATGAAAACCCGTCTACGCTTGAATGTCGAGTGCGATGCACGAGTCCCGGCCGAGCTAGAAATTTGGGGGTATTCGAAATAAGTGTGAAGACCAGACCCATGGCGGAAGAGCTACGCTCGTACGCCCGGGCCCCATTGAAAGGAAAGATGCAGTCTTGCAAGTGTGGGGTCCTGACCACCGCTTTGAGCAAGAAATCTTCTCAGAAAACTGAAAAGGCGGACGAAAGGAATCCATTCCAGTGGCTCCCTAACGACCAGGGCGTTCGCTGTCATAACATCGTGTGGGGAAAAAGTCGAGCTGGATGCAGAAAATCTAAGTCGTCTTAAGCGCTTTCAATCTGCTGAAGGCACTGTTCGAACTCGCTCCAATCCTTCATAATCACCTTAGCACCGAGTTCCTCGAGACGCTGGGCCATCTCAATCTTCTTGTCATCACCAGGGTAGCTGCCGACGTAACCAATGACTGGAATACCGGCACGGATGGCACTCAGAGCACCAGACTTGCTGTCCTCGATGGCAACCACTTCTTCGGGCTTCTTCTTACACACCTCAAG